GGAGTCTCATGTTATTTGCTGCCCTCTTGTGGCCATACTGTGTCCCTCACTTAGCTCACCAGGGCCCTGCAAGTTTGGGAAGAGAATTCCTGATACAGAAAGTTTCCCTTGGTGAAAACCCGGGAGGAAGCTGAAACTTAGAAGAGTCTTACTTAAGGTAATGCCAGTGACATGAGCGCAGAAGGAAAGAGACGAGTTTGCTAAAGACTTTCTGACAAAGTCTGACGTTGTAGCTCAGTTGTAGCAGGAAGCATGTTATCATTTAGAGCATATCCAGAGGCATCAACTCAAGGTCTGTAAAACTGATTGTTTCCAGCTGGTGGTCAGTGTGGTCTAATTAGCTAAGACCTACACACCAAGGCCACAACAGGGCTGAGCTGGGAGGAAGATGCACATGCTTGACTTTCTGACCTTCCCCCAACCACAGTAGATCACTTCTAAGCTTTGTCCCCGCCCACCCTGCCCACTCTTCTGCGGGAAGAGAAGTCAGACTCATCAAGTCTCTTGTCTCTTGTTATGACTCAGTTATACGTTACTCTATACACACAGCACTGTGGCACTTCTTATTATATTCAGTATTCTCTCACCTGACTTGCAACCCTCTTTCCAATTGACCTGCAAGCTCCACGGGGGCAGAGCTTATGTCTTAAACATGTTCTGTAAACCCAGTATTTTAATACGGTGTTCAACAATTACGTGTAAATTTATTCATTCATTCAGAAGAAATCAAAACCCCTCATAGAAACTTACAGCACAGTTCTACTCACTCCACTTTCATCTTAAATTTTTTAGCCCCAAACATCTAATCTGCTTATGAATTTGAAAGCTTCAGTTAGTGGTTTCATCATAAGTGTACTTCCCTAGGGAAAAAATTGGAGCAAATGAAAATTAATCTCAATAAATAAGGTTCCGTTTCACACCATTTATTTATATCCACAGGAGTGGTTAAGGCTGAGAACAGAATAGAGTATGTAAACAAGTCTTTTAGGGCTTATGTCTATATTTCCAATTTCTGAATAAAAACAACCACAAAGAAAAAAACCTCTCTGCTCTCTTAAGTATATATTTTTCTCCTTAAGAAGAGGAAGAATAATTATAGATGGTAAGAGAAGCTCCAGAAATTTTCTTCTATAAAAGGGAGCAGATTCCAGTGACAGTAAATGTGATTGGGAAACAATGTAGAGACATTAAAAAATGTGGGATCTTCTACTTCTCTCATTCCTTTCCCTTATCCATCTCTGAAGGTTACTAAAATTATTGAGAGAGCCTATGTCCCTTCTGAGTTTGGGATCTGCAAAGTGTGTGTGTATGTATGTGTGTGTGTGTGCATATGCGAGAGTGCCCAATACTATTATCAAGAATGCCCCCTTTTTTAATCCTCCCAGGGGTATTGAATGAAACATATATATTGAAATGAATACAGGTACATAATCCATTACATCATGGTGCCAGCATTTTAGACGCTTTAAACCCATATCAAGGGCCTAAATGCTGTTGCTTTGGCCCAATAAGCTTCTGCTAGGCAAGAGATCAAAAAGCTACCTTTATGACAGAATGAATTCTAAATTTAGGAATGAATGAATTAGGTCTGTCTTCACTGATTTTATATTTTAAAAACAACTATTTTAAAGAAGCGAAATTTTGAAAGTGCTATAAGAAAGTTATAAAATAATGGAAGCCCAAATGCCTGATAAAAACTCAAAAGGGAATAAATGAATTGTTCATTGAACTGAAAGACTCACCTGGCATCTGGACAAATGGAGCCGGAGGGGAACTGACACTTCCCTGGAAGCAAAGAGAGCAGGTGTTTCTTCTTTAGTTAAAGTTTGAATTTGAAAAAAAGATTAGGAATATACTTTAAGAGCTTTATTTGCTGACACTAAGAAATGTTATTTGGGGGGATTGGGTTGGGGGAGTCAATTGAGAGTAAGAATGCAAGTTCCAGAGAACAAAATTTTACAAGGGACAGGGAACAACCAAAGTTTTAGATTCTGGTAAACACGCCAAAAAGCATTGGCTAGATAGGTGAAATGGAATAATTTATCCTTTGTTTTTTACTGTTTGCATTAACATCCTCCATCGAATATATATTATGTGACTATGTATGTATCTACGTAGAAATGTCAGTGATACAACCTCAAGCTAAAGAACACAAAGGATTGTCAGCAACCACCAGAAGCTAGGAAAAGACAAAGAAGTGTGCTCCCCTAGGGCCTTCTGAGGGAGCCTAGCCCTGCTGATACCTTGATTTTGGATTTTCTAGTCTCCAGAAATGTGAGACAATAGTTTTCTGTTGTTTTAAGTTATCCCCTTTGTAGTAATTTGTTATCACAGCTCTAGGAAATTAATTCAAGGAGTGACTGAAATAGACAATTCACTATGGTGTAAAGTGTCATGGTCGAGACAAGATGTGGGGAGGAGGGCACCTAAGCTGGTATTAGAGATGGGATGGGGAACACTTTCTGGAGGAGATGATATACTGACCTGAAAAAAGAGTATCCAGGTGTGTAAAGTCTTAAAATACACAAAATCAAGATACCCAGGAGCAAAGTTAAATGGAAAATGTAGCTGTCATAAAGGTTAAGCATCCTCAATATCCAGTTCTGTGGATCTGAGCCCTTAGCCCCAACCCTCACAGTCCTATAGACTCTCAAGCATGGAGAGATTTCACAGAGTCTCATCCAACTTCCCACTCACCCAATGCTGAGATCCTCTCCATTATCAACACTGGGTGTGATGAAGAAATCAGCACCCCCTGAGAAACCCCATTTCTTCTCTAGGGTCCTCTGACTGTTACAAAGTAGGCTGAAGAGTCACTTTTAAAATTCTAATCTCTTTAATTCATACAGAAGAAGTTTAACCCTTCTTCCATTATGGTTCTAAAAATATTTGAAGACAAGCCATCATTTCCAATTGTCTTACTCAGGCTGCTATAAGAAATGCCACAGACTGGGCGGCTTAACATTTCTCAACGACGACATTTCTGGAGGCTACAAGTTTGAGATCAGGGTGTCAGCATAATTGGGGTCTTGGTGAGGTTTACAGATGGCTGGCTTCCTGCTGTGTCTTCATGTGATGGAAAGAGAGATCATCTTTCTCATGATCTTTTCTTATGAACCCACTAATCTTATCATGAGGTCTCCACCCATATGACCTAATCACTTCCCCAAAGACCCACCTCCTAATACCATCACAATGGGGATTAGAGTTTTATCATATAAATTCCGGGGGGACACCAATGTTCAGTTCATAGCTCTAACCTGGAATTTTATCTTTTCCAGGCAAGACAGGCTTTGAGCACTTCGAAGTAGCATAAAATTTAAGAGTGAAGGCTCTGGAACCAAAGTGTTTGAATCTCAACTCTCCTCTTTTTAGCTGTGTGATCTTGGGCACATGAAGATTAAATGAGATCATATATGTCAAGCATTTAGAATAGTGTCTGGCATAGTGTAAGCAGGATATACATGTTAGCTATTATCACTCAGATGTATTTTTATGTCCCTTCAAGTCTGTGATATAGTCCTCTAAATATATTATGATTTGTGTGTTTTCCTGTTTAATAATTTAATGCTTTTTAGAAGCAGAGGGAACTCTTGGGCATGTGAGGCCAGAGGTGGGTGTAGATTAGGTGCCTTGTATGGCAAGGAGAGGAGGCAGTAATTAACTATAGAAGTATTTGTGTCTGGGCACATTTCCCCATGTTGCTAGGGCCCGTGTTATCCGGTGTTTCCTTCCAATTCCCAGCTTTGTCTGGCTAGGTCTTTTGTTGAAGTCCTGTTTCAAGGCCCATACATACTCTGGCTTCTTCTGATTCAGCTTCCTTCTGTGTGTAGCAGGGTGTGGCAGGGCGGTAGCTGTCCTGGGTGCTGCCTGGGGAGACGTCTCATGACTATTTCACCTCCTTGTTCTGCCTGATCTACTTAAGCTGCTCTAGCTAAGGCTGGGGCCAGGAAGAAGCCTTCTGTGAGACACAGTGCACATGCCCAATTTGATAGACATAAGTATCAGCACTCTA